CCACAATGATAGCTTCTTTAATGATAGGAATGTCATAAGGGATAACTATGTCTTGAAGCCAAACTTTCCTCCATTCTTCAAACTCAGAAGTGACTGAAATCTTGTTCCTTGAGAAACGAACTTCACATTGTGAACATACTTCCTTGGCAAAGCCAATTTGATTAATTACTTGAGTATCAAGAGAATAATCAAACCCATATGAAGTGATACCATCTAGCAATGGTTTACTTTGCCTATCACGAAATTGCCTCATCACTAATGCTGAACTATAGCTAATAGCTCCTCGAACGCCCAATAAAGGAATCCAGTTATGGCCACGTGGAGGATAAAAGTAATCAGTAGACTTCAACCATGTCACACACCAAACTATGTCTTCGGATTTCAAGTTCAAGAATTGTTGATGCCATTGGTCAGCCATCTTCTTTTCCAATTGATTCTTTTTTTGCAAAATTCCAAACTCCCTAATTGTGGAGACATTTACCTTTGATAAATGCGCATGTATCCATATTGTAAACAAACTAGCAGAACATGTGAATCTACCCTTGCCATGAGCTCGAATATAGTCAGCATCGCGTAGAGTTTCAGCAATTAAAACCGGAGCAACATTAAGATTTGGATTCTTGATCAACTGCTCGAACATGGCTACAACTGATGAACTAATACTGTCCATATTAGTGGGCAAAATAACCATTCCATATATTCCTAAGGCGACAAAATTCAACCGGTCCTCCTCAGAAAGTGAACTTAGATCAAACTTTAATTTGGAATACATCATGTTCCAATTAACTCCCCAAACTTCATTTTTCTTCATAATGCAACCTTCTGTGAACTCTAAAGGAAAGTTCAAAATCCTTTGTAGTATGGACTGAAATTGCAACTTATTTAATTGAAAGTTAACAGGGTCTGGGACATAAACTTCTGAACTCATTTCTGGCCGATTGAACAATAACTGAAAATATTCTTCAATGGTAGGTACCAACTCAAACTCAAGAAAAACAAAGCAACGAAGATGCGGGACATAAAATCTTAGGCTTGCCCTAATGATTTCCCAGTCCGGCTCTACTTGCAACACATCAGCAATTCTACCAAACTTCTTGTCAAACCTCACTTTGTCAAGATTACTCAGACTATTCCAAGCAGCAACCAAGTCTTTTACACAAGGTCTTTTGGTCTGCACAGAGAATCCATCCTTGTGTGACTTGTTCTTCTTGGATAATGGTGGACATTCTAACTCTAAATTCATCCTTTTTCCTTTACTGTTCTTTTTCTCCAAAGAATCCATGTGTAAAATAATTAATTACCTATTAAAAAAGAAAAAGAAGAGTTAATGAATGTCATACCTTTTGGTCGAATTCCTCACCTAAGAAACACAAAATCATTGTTTATCAATAAAATACTCCCAATGTGTCCTATGTATAAAGTTCTTAGACTTTGGAGGTGATTTACTAGGCTGGCCGTCCTAGGGTTAAGTTTTTGTCTAAGTCTATTACATGTGGTTTCCTAGTGGATCCTATACGATTGGGCTTTTCAACTGCTAACTTCCATAAGTCAACAATTATTGACTTCCATAAAGTCAACAATTGCCAACTTCTATAGAGTTAACAAGAGGCATTTCATGACCTAATACAGCAGCAGCATTATGACTGTGAAGCCGTATTAACCCACAAAATGAACCTAAAAGGGATAAATCTCACTTCACAAAGAAAGCATTGCGCTTTTCATCGCTCCATGAGTTATCCATCTATCTAGAGGTTGGGTTTACCTCGTCAAGGACAAAAATGATATGCAAGTGAAGTGTGTGAGAGAGTATACACAAAGTTAACATATGAAAAGAAAAAAATATAAAATAAATATAAATAAAAATAAAAATAACAAAATAAAAAAAAACTTACAAAATATTCCATGCCATCTACAAAACAAAAGTTAGTAATTGAAAAACCCCCAAAATTAAAGTATAAATGGCTTAACCCTTCAATGTCCCCAGTGGAGTCGCCAAACTGTTGACGTGCCAAAATGAATGGAGTCGCCATCTATCCTAATGAGGTGGGATAGATCACCAAGGTCTTCGTAGAAATTGACTAGGCTCGGAGGGTCGATTAAGCATGGGGAAGGTGTTAGGCACCCCACAACTTCCATATAAATATGGTTACCAAACACTTTAATTTTGGGGAATTTCAATTTTTATGAAAATAAAATTTGCCAAGAACATAAAACAAGAAAGAACAAGAAATAAAATAATAAAAAAAATTATTGCCTTTTCCCCGTTTTTTGCCCTTTTCTCGTTTCTGCTTTTTTTTATTCTATTTCTTTTGTTTCAATTTTTTTATTTATCAATAATAACTACCCCAGAAAAAAAAATAAAAAAAGTCAAAAATAATTACTGTTCATCGTCTTCTACCTTTTCCCCTTTTCCGTTGCTTTTGTTTCTTTATATTTTTGTTCTGCAACTATCGTTTCTGTTTTTTTTTTTTTTTTCTTCTTCTAATGCCTAAACCCCACCTCATATTTCCTAAAAGAGTTTCTTTTCCCAATCCTTTTTCCTATTATTGCATAATAACAAATCCTAAACTTCATGCATAAAACAAACTAAAAATCTGCAGATAGTTATTTTGGATCGCAGGAAACCAAACTAATGGGGAAAAACAAGTGAAATCATGTTTGTGGCAAGCTTCAAGACCAATTACAGATAAACCAAAAAACAATTAAAAGGGCAATCAAGCAATTCACAAAAGAGAAGAAGAAAGAACAAAATATGAACAATCGGAAAACGCAGAAAGAAAAAAAAAATTTATGAATAATGCACACCTGAAGAAAAGGAAAAATCAAGACTTTATTCTCTTGAAGTCCAAATACAAGTTTCTGCGTTTCCCTTTTTCTCTCTTCACTCTCGGATTTCCCTTTCTCCAATTTCCTCCTCCTCTTCGCCCTCCGATCACTTTTTTTTCTCCCCTCCCTCAAGCCGAAGGTGCCCCCTATTTATACAGAAATAGAGAGGACTCCAGTCCTTTTTCTAACTCTCAATTCTAATCCCAATCCCCAAAATTACAGATAATAATATAATCCTATTTTAAATACCTTCTGCGACTCTTGATAAGAACTTCAACTTCGAAAATCTCTTCTTGTGTTGTTGTGGTTTATCCAAACTTTGAATGGATTTAGAGATAAATCAAGAAGAATTTTGTGAAATTTGGAGATAGCCGGCGGCAAAAGGAAGAAACCCATTTTTTTTGGAAAGCTAGGGTTCGACAGAACCCTGGGCTTCATCTTTATTTCAACTTACAGGCAAAACGACGTCATTTGGCTAGTTCTTCATCTCAGCCCTTCAAACTTTACACTTTTTGCGAAATGGTCCATGAATTTTTACTTTTCTCACTTAGCCCCAATTAAAATTGGGTTATGACACCATATGTATTTGTGTTGTACTAGATGATTGTTACTTAATTGACTGCTTTAAGGTGTTCATTATCTAGCTTGGATTATTGAAAGAAGTAGTGTTTGAGATGCTCTAGTTTTCATATTTATTTAGTTAGGATATCTCCATTGATTATGTTTCTATATTTGTTGAATTTGTAATT